ATAATCAGTTATGACTCATAGCAACCCTAAGTGTAGCATAATAAAACACTGCCTGCTCCTACGCCAGATCCACAATCAACGCTGCGCTTGAAAGCATAGTTGCAGCCAGAATCAATGTAGTATCTCATTGTAGGTCTTGCTCTTTCTCACTGACCTTGGAGAAGCATGAGGTCCTTCTCCAAGGACTGGTCCTTTCTGATAGCATGTCCAAAGCACGAGACAAAATTCTGTCATCCTAAGAGCTACAGTTCTTTTAGAATCTGTCTAGCAGGTTTTCTGGTTCTTTCCAGAAACACCCCTACCGCCCCCAAGCCGTAAGTCCAGTCTTTAATTGTCAACTTGCCTCTAAGGAACCTGGCTGTACTTCTCTTAAGACAGATTTGTTTTCCTGCCAGTTCATAGTCTTCAATCTTCTTTGACAATACTGCAACTCAAATGCAACAATAATTCTTCTACCTTCCTTATTCCTCAACCAGGTTTCACATGTATTGAGACCATTGAAAATAGCCTGGCTTCAAAAAATCGTATCATTGTAAATGTGGGTGAGTGCAGAGTGGAGACTCAAAGCCCATCAGTAGGCAACTGGACAACCCCTTACTGAAGGGTTGTGGGGAGGAGATGAGCCAGTCAGAGTGCAGGGTAGCAACGATGAAACATACAACTTTCCTCTAGTTCCTAAATGCTTCTTCACACAACCCCCACTATCATGATCCCAATTCTACCTTACAAATCTGGCTAGACCAGAGGATGTACATTGGTAAAGATAGCAACTGGAAACAGGGAATCCAGGACAGATGACTCCTGCAGGACCAGTGGTGAGAGTGGCAATGCCTGGAGGGTGGAGGGATTATGGGGTAGAAAGGGGAAACCAACTACAGTGAACCCTCGTTTATCGCGGTTAATCAGTTCTAGACCCTACCGTGATAAATGAAATTCCGCGAAGTAGGATTCCTTATTTGTAAATCAAATATTTTCGTAGTTAGAGCATAGAGGACATGAAAAAACACCCTTTAGTCACCATTACACTCGAATTACCCAATTTATTAAACGAAAAAGGGAAAATACAGTAAAACATTTTGGACGTTACAATTATCATTTACTATTTATTATATTATTTATGGCATCAAGCGTGTACAGTATGAGCCAATCAGTGGCAGTAATGAAAGAGCATGCGCTGTTACGCAAAAACTGCGATAGAGTGAAGCCGCGGAAGTCGAAGCGTGAAGTGGCGAGGGTTCACTGTACAAAAATCTAAGTATAGTCTCCTCCCTGGGGGATGGAGAGCAGAGAAAGGGCAGGGGGAGTGTCAGACAGTGTAACATATGACAAAATAATAATTTATGAAGTATGAAGGGTTCATGAGGGAGGGGGGAATGGGGAGGGAGGGGGAAAAGTGAGCAGCCGATATTAAGGGCTCAAGTAAAAAGCAAATGTTTTGAGGATGATGGCAACAAATGTACATATGTGCTTGACACAATGTATGTATGGATTGTGATAGGAATTGTATGAGCCCCAATAAAATGATTTAAAAAAAGAAAAGAAAGAAAATAGCCTGGCTTGAGTCAGATGCACCTAGTCCTCTGGTGACATCTGTGCTTTTCATTAACACTTTACAGAGCTCTTCTGAAGCGGATTGCCCAATGGATTATGTCGCTGGATTTCTTGGCAACTGATTTGATGAGCACTAATTGCAGAGCAAAGCAAAATTAAACCCTTGGCAACCTCAATCTTTACTTATTTGGTCATGGTGTTCTCTTCTTGGTCCAGGGATGAGAATATAGGTTTCCTTACTCTGAGTTATAATCTACACTGAAGGTTGTATATTTCATCTTCATGAGTAAGAGCTTCAAGTCCTCTTCAAGTTCAACAAGGAAGGTAGTCATGTTTATCACAGGTTGCTAGTAAACCTTCCTCTAGGAATGATGGCACATTCATCTTCATATAGTCCAGTTTATCAACTTAGCATAGACTAAGTAAATATGGTGAAAGGATACAGCCCTGACACACACTTTCACACACACACACTTTTGATTTTAGACCACGCAGTCTCCCCTTGTTCTGTTGAAACAACTGCCTCTTGGTCTACAAGCAGGTGCATGAACATTTTAAGTGTTCTGGAATTACCATCTTTCATAATTTGTTATGATACACACAGTTAACAAAGCTTTGCAGAGTCAATAAAACACAAATAAAAATATTTCTGGTATTCTGCTTTCAGTCAAGATCCCTCTGATGTCAGTAATGTTATCCCTCATTTCCAAGTCCTCTTGTGATTGGAAGGAGCTTGAGTTTCTCACAGTACCCTGTGGATGTACTATTTTAATTGTTTTCTAATTATCTGCAGCAAAATTTTACTTTTGTGTAATATTAATGATGTGTGTAAGATATAATCATTTTCACATTCTGTTGGATCACTTTTCTTCAGAATGGGAACAACTATGGATCTCTTACATGTCCAAAGTACATGGTACAAAGTGCAATTACATGGCCAGTTAACTGTCTTCCAAATTTCTTGATATAGACAAGTAAGCACTTCCAATGGATAGTTTCTAAATGTTAACTCAAAGAATATATTAAATATCCTCAAATTTAAGTGTCTTGATTTATTAAATTCTCTATTTTCATGCATCCATATACAGGTAGTCCCCAGATTACAAACTAGTTCCGATCTTAAATCTTCCTTTAGTCTAATTGATACATAAATTGGGAGTTAAATATGGTCTCATCAGTTAGTCAAATTTTTAATGTTGTGTACCTCTATATGCATAGGAAAATATTAAAGAAACAGTAAAACATCTTTAACATAATCATACAATGAAGACTTCAACATCTGAGGCAGTAACCCCAAGCTGCAAAAGGCACTCACCTCTGCTGTAGTGGTCAGAAATCTTGCCCCTCTTTTGCTTGGAGTCTCCCACCCAGCTGTCCTGGGAGCCTGGTACCCTGCTTAGGCTGCATGATTCAGAGCCAAGGTCAGTCGTGGCCTTGGTCTGGGTCTAGAGTCAATGCATTGTGCCCAACTGTGGATAGGGCCAAAGCACTATCAAGTACAGATCGAAGCAAAGTCAGAACCAGCTGCCTCCCATCAGGTGTGGGGCCCACCATCACCACAGGGAGTCCATGCATGCCCTGGAGTCTCCGATGCCACCGTCTGCCCTGCATACTCATCAATTCCCAGGCAGCTAGAGGCAGGTTCACCGGGGGTTTAGAGCCCAATGGTGACAGGGAGCATCTGCTGCTTGACAAGTTCTGGAAAAACTAACAGGCAATCTGTCCCTTCCCCTACGTTCATTAAGTTGCAAGTTCCTGTCCCAGGGACTTAAAAAATGAGGCAACTGAAAATAGCATGGATTGAGTCAGATGCCTGTAAACTAGTATTTTGATGAGAAGCCCTACTTGAACTGTGGTTAAGAGTGCTAAGCTACTAACCAAAAGTTAGATAGTTTGAGCCCACCAGTCACTCTGGAAGAAAGATGTAACAGTTGACTATTAGCAACCTTGAAAATCCCATAGGACAGTTCTACTCTGTCCTATAGGGTCACTATAAGTGGAGATCGACTCTATAGTAGTGGGTTTAATATTTATATTCCATTTTGGTGGGAAAATGTGAAAGAGATTTATATATTTGGAAATTATTTTAAGCATCACTAGTTATCTGGTGGCAGAGTGGATTACATATTGGGCTGCTAATCCCAAAGTCTGCAGTTCAAAAGCACCAACGAATCCACTGGAGAAAGACCAAGCTTTTGATTCCCATAAAGAGCTACAGTATTTGAAACCCACAGTGGCAGTTCTACTCTGTCTTATGGGCTTACTGTGAGTTAGAATTGACTTGACGACAGTGAGTTTGTTTTGTTTTTATTTAAGTTTACATTCTGAACAAAATAAGCACCCATATTCAAAACAGCTCAGGCCAACAGAGGAAGTTGAGCCAAAAAGAAAGGGGGAAAAAATGTTCACCTTCCTGTCACAGCATACGATTTTGTACCATCTCACTGTCTCTTAACAAGGTTGGTTGTTAACTGGCTTCCTTGCATATATAATACAGAAACACAGCCCTAGTCCACCTAGTATGTCTTAACTTCAACTGCCCCATCATCTTTAAAAAGAAAACAAACATAAAACTAGTCATCTTTGAGTTGCTACTCTGCCATATTCTGAACAAGAAAGTTTATATCCTTAGGGGAGGTTGGGGGGAGGGGGAGATGTGGAGCTAGTAACATTGAGCATAAAAATGAAGAAACTGTTGCAAAATGTATTATGGCAATGAGTTCACAGCTCTTTTTAACACATTCAAAGCACTAAACTGTATGTTATGTGAATTACATGTCAGTAAAATTGGTTTGTTTGTTTTGGGGGGTGTTGTTTATGCTATCACTTATCTCCCCCCAAGACGTTATAATATTACTCCACTTTACAGATGAATAAGTTCTGCCCAAGAAATGTCTACTATGTTGTTTAAAATCAGCTGACAGGTCCTGGGTCCTGAATCCTAGTGGTACCTGAAGCTAAAGCCATGCTTTTCCTATTAGAAAGCATGGTCACCGTATTTAAAGGGGCACACCTTCAAAGCACTGAAGCCAAAGCAAGTCATCAGACCTACTGCTCATTGACATTCAGCAGAACCAGTGCAACACTAGTTTTCTCCTTTTGGAAATAATTGTGTATTTTAAAATACTTTCCTCCCAAAGCAGTCCAGAATAATGAAAATTAAATTATCCACGAACAGCAGCAGTCTTCACTTCACGAGTGTTAACCCCAGATTCCCCACCATCACTAGAAGACACAGTCACCCACCCTGGCCCTGGTCCCCGAGATTCCAAAGACCCTTACTAAATACACACAGGACATAAGCTCCGATCAGAGGGATAATGGTTTCCTAACACCTAAAATGAATGACAATGCAAGAGCACACCTTAGGTAGTTACTCATCTCCGCTTCCATGTGACAGGGCCTAAGGGGAGGGGCAGACAAATTTGCTCCCCTCTGTAGGCGCTTACCTGCTCCTCGGAGCCTTTTCTTGGGGTTCCGTTCCTCCCAAATCCACCAAGGGGCCATCTGCTGGTTCTGATGGCTTCGGAGCAGAGGCTGCTACCGGCTCCGGCGGCTTGGCAGCCTCCTTTCCACGCTGGGGGATACACGCGGTGGCCCCTCTGGTGCCTATCCCAGACTTGACGTTTGGCTTCACACTAAGGCGTGCCCGGCGGAACATGGCGGAGCCAGGGGGCCCGGGGAAGCGGCCCCGCGGCCGCTCTGTACCCCGAGCCCCGGCCGCTGCCCGGAAGAGGGGTAACTACCCCTTTTCCACAAAGCTTCCCCACCAGTCCAGCAGAGAGCTACCGCAGCTTCGCGCCCCCACCACCTCCACCTTCCCCCCGCCGCCGCCTCTTCTTCATGACCCTGCCCAGCCCTAGCCAAGTTTCCCTCTCTACTCAGCGCCCGCCCTCAGAGGGCGCCGGAACTGCTACGTCATCAGACAGCGCCGCCACCCATGCGGCGTGACGTCCGAAGCACAGCGCCCAGAGCCATGGAAACTGCAAAGCTATGCACAGGCTGTGGTTACAAACCGGAAATTGAGAACCGAGCCCGACGCTCCTCGTCTGCAGGCTTGTTTTTGCTGTTGCTGCTGTTCTCAGTACGTCAAGCCGACTACGGACTCGCGGCGGCCTTAAAGGAACGTCTGTCTGCCTGCTTCTGCTCCATCCCGTGATTATGTGACTCGGACCTGTTGTCTGTTCTAGCGTTAAAAAAGCCCCTTAATTCAAATGTATTTTATTGAAACACCTTTATTAAGTGTTAAGCAAGACAAAGACATAGACCAAAACAAAAAACAAACCGAATAACCCCTATGCAGGAGACTATCGTGATGAGACCATAATGATAACCTAAATTCTCACGGCCACATCGCTAAATTATTAAGTGTGGAAAACTAAGGAAATTTGACATAAAATCATTATTAGCAGCATAGTCGAATATAAGAAATGGAAAAAGACCACGATTGGGACACATAGATTATTGCCGATTAGAAAAGTTCACAAGATTGATTGTGAGGCCCTCCGATGGTCTGGGCATGCAACCCTGGCAGGCCAATTTCCATCAAGGGCATGCCCAAACGATTCTCTGAAAGCGAGGCTAGCCTGCCCTAGGCTAGGTAGATGCGTGGCAGCAAACACACTCTGAGAACAAAGCTTTTAACATTGCTAGTGAACGATCAGAAGGGACTCAATGGAGGCTAAGTTTATTTGGAGAGTCCAAATGGATTTAGGGTTCTTACTGTAAACTTTAGCCTCCTACAAAATAATGCTCCAAATTTAAGCACTATATGATCCATAGGACTTTCATTAGCTGACTTTCAAAGTAGATAGGCCGACCTTTTTTTCTTTCTTAGTTTAGAAGTCGATTAAAATCTGAACAGTATCATAGCAAGATACAAGCCTCCACTGATAGCCAGGTTGTTGCAAATGACGTGCATTGGACCCTGGCCTTTGGCATGTTTTTGCTGCTGTTAGGTGCCATCAAATCAAATCTAGTCATAATGAATGAAATACTAGCTAGTCTTGTACTATCCTCAGTCATGATCCTTAAACCTATTGTTGCAGTAACTAGGCCAATCCATCCAATTGAGTATCTCTCTTTTTCACTGACCCTCTACCAAGCATGAGGTCCTGCACCAGCAACTGGTCCCTCCTGATACCATATCCAAAACACATAAAGCCAAGGCTTGAAAGCATCCAAAGGTGCATCCTGACTATACTTTTCAGATCACAAATGTGTTCATTCTTCTGGTAGCCCATGGTAAGGAACCCATTCTTTTTAGTCGTCTTATTCATTGTCCAGCTTTCAAGTGAATATGAGGCAATCAAAATGTGATGGATGGGGTCAGACACTCCTTAGACTTAGAGTTCAAAGTAATATCTTTGCTTTTAAGCACTTTTTTTTTTTTTAAACATTTTATTAGGGGCTCATACAACTGTTATCCCAATCCATACACACATCAATTGTGTAAAGCGTATTTGTACATCATTTCTCAAAACATTTTCTCTCCATTTAAACCCCCAACATTAGGTCCTCATTTTTCCCCTCCCTCCCCGCTCCCCTCTCCCACATGAGCCCTTGATAGTTTATAAATGGGTATTTTGTCATATCTTGCCCTGTCCGACTTCTCCCTTCACCCACTTTTCGGTTGTCTGTCCCCCAGGGAGGAGGTCACACACAGTTCCATGTAATCGGTTCCCTCTTTCCTACCCATTCTCCCTTTACCCTCCCTGTTTTGCCACTCACACCACTGGTCCTATAGGGCTCATCCATGCTTTTAAGCACTTTAAGGAGGTCTTTTCAACAGAAAAGTGGGTGAAGGGAGACAGCTGTCAGTGTAAGATATGAAAGCAATAATTTCTAATTTATCAAGGGGTCATGAGGATGGGAGGGAGGGACAAAAGAGGAGCTGATACCAAGGGCTCAAATAGAAAGTAAATGTTTAGAAAATGATAATATATGTACAAATATGCTCAATAAAATTGATGTAAGAGCTGTAAGAGCCCCCAATAAAATGATATAAATAAATAAATAATAAAGAAGTCATTTACAAAAGATTTGTCTCACGTTGTTGTTGTTGACAGGTGCAGTCCAGTTGGTTCCAACTAATAGTGACCCTATATGTACAACATAATGAAACACTGCCTGCAATTTTCTCACAATTGTTGTTGAGTCCATTGTTATAGACACTGTGTCAGTTCATATCCTTGGTGGGGCGGGGGTCTTCCTCTTTTAGGCTGCCTTTCTACTTTACCAAGCATGATGTCCTTTTCCAGGGACTAGTCACTCCTAATAACATGTACAAAATATATAAGAACTCACCATCCTGGTTTCTATGGAGCATTTTGGCTGTACTTCTTCCAAAAGTTCTACTTGTTCTTCTGGAATCCAGGCTACTTTCAATATTCTTCACCAACACCATAATTCAAATGCATCAATTCTTCTTGTCTTCCTTATTCATTGTCTAACTTGCATAGGCAAATGAGGCCCTTCAAAATACCCTGACTTAAGGACATGCACATCTTAGTCCTCAAAGTGAAACCTTGGCTGTTTAACAGATCTTTCACAACATATTTGCTTAATGTAATACATTGTTTATTGACTGCTGCTTCTATTAATGTTTTAATTGTAGACCCAAGTAAAATGATATGCTTGACAATTCCCACGGGTTCTCAAATTTATTTGACCTACTGCCTCCTTAAAAAAAAAAAAAAATCACTCTACCCCATAGCAGTGAAACAATGTTGCACTGTAGCCTACAATCCAGAATAAAGTGTAGGTATCTGCTTTTGCAGCTTCCATGGATCATTCCAGCGTCCTCCAAGGGATAGTATCTGGAATGTGGGTAAACAATGACGTCAATCTTTCTCTCCATTTATCTTGATGTTGCTTATTTGTCCGATTATGGGGATTTGGTATTTTTTACATTGTATAGTGAAAGGATACAACCTTGACACATACTTTTTTTTATTGTAAACTATTTAATATCACCTTGTTCTGTTTGAGTAATTGCTTCTTGATCTATGAACAGATTCCACATGATCACAATTAATTTGTGCTCAATGTGTTTAAAAATTCAGTTGTAAGGATTTTTATTTCCACTTTGTTGAGTTGAAATCCATACTGAAGGTTGTATTCTTCATAAGTAAATGCTTCAAGTGCTCTTCGCTTTCAGTAAGCAGGTTGTGTCATCTACATGTCACAAGTTATAATAACCCCTCCTCCAACCCTAATGCCATGTTTTTCTTCATATACTCCAGATTCTCCATTATTTGCTCAGCATAAAAACTGAATAAGTATGATGGCAGGATACAACCTTGATGCAAAACTTTCCTGATTTTAAACCATACATTATCCCTTTGTTCTTTTAAAACCACTGTTTCTTAGTCTGTATATTGGTTCCTCATGAGTGCATTTAAGTGTCCTACAATTCGTATTCTTCACAATGCTATTCTGTAATTTGTTATGTTCACTCAATCAAAAGTTTTGCACAGTCAGTAAAACGCAGGTAAACATTTTCCTGGTATTCTCTACTTTCAATCAAGATCTATCTGATGTCAGCAATGATATCCCTGGTCCCACTACCTCTTCTGACTACAGCAAAAATTTCTAGAAATTCCCTGTTGATGTATTATTGTTGCAGGCATTTTAAAATTATCTTCAACAAAATTTTACTTGCATGTAATATTAATAACATTTTTTCAACAATTTCTACATTCTGTTGGGTCACCTTTCATTGGGAAGGGCACGAATATGGATGTCTTTGAGTCAGTTGAAAAAGTTCAATTAGACTGTAAATTGAGAACACAAACAGGACAGCTCTATCGCTGATTTTCCAATTCTTTCACTCCTCTCCTTCTCCAAGGTCTCGCTAAAAAAGCCCCTGCCCAAAGTCCATCTTTTCCCCTTGCTCAAATTACCATTATCTAATTTTACAAGTAAGGAATCTTTTAACACAAATAAGTTGTTCAAGTTGTTCATTGATAAAATTGGGCTTTCAACACTTTTGTGAGTTTCTCTCTCTCTCTGTCTCTCTCTCTCTCTCTCTCTCTCTCTCTCTCTCTCTCTCTCTCTCTCTCTCTCTCTCTCTCCTTCACCAAGCATGATGTCCTATCCCAGGGGCTGGCCTCTCCTGATAATGTGTCCCAAACATGCGAGACAAAGGCGCACAGTTCCTCTGAAGAGCACTCTACCTGTGCTTCCTTCAACAAAGAAATGCTTGTTGTTCTGGCACTCAATGATGCTTTCACTATTCTTTGCCAACAGCATAATTAAAATGCACCAATTCTTCCTTATTCATTGTCCAGTTTTATATACACTTTAAGTGGGTCAGAAAAGTATCCTCAGAGTGACATCTTTGCGCAATAAGAATTTAGAGGTTCCAAGAGGAAAGCGAATTTTGGGAATAATGAGGGCAACAAATGTATAGATGTGCTTCACACAATTGATCTATGTATTGTGATGAATTGTATGAGCCCCAATAAATTGTTTTTAAAAAATTTAAAGAGGTCTTATGCAGCAGATCTTCCCAATGCAATACATTATTTGATTTCTAGAGTGCTTTCATTAGCATTGATTATGAACCTAAGCAAAATGAAGTCCTTGACAACTTCAACATTTTACTGTTCATCTTCATGCTGTCTATCGGTTCATTTGTAACCTAATTAATTTTCTTTAATGTAGCTACGTAAAATCTCCCGTACTACATGCAGTTAGCTTAAGGTACTTTACATGATGCGGTCTCTACAAAATTTTTATGAATTATGCAATGATAAACAGGTTGAATATGGTGTTACCTAGAGTGGCCAGATAACCATAGGAGTCTTCTCTTATTTACCTGCTAGTGATTATAAGTTGGGCCCTCTATGTGGTTTGTAGACAAAGACATCCAGAGACTGGCCTAAGACTTAAAGACTTAAAGAACCTTATTGTTCTGTTTGCTTGATCATGAGCAACAATTGTTTCCTGTGGTTACCCTGAAAACTGAGCTAATGTAAAACATTTATACATGATTCTCCAAAGTATAACTCCAAGTTAGAGGTATGCATTCTCTACATATTCTGATTTCAAAGTCTATACCACAAAGACAACCTGTATTGCTATCAGTCTCTGTATTGGTATCGCTTTCTAATAAAAGGTTCTCTTTCATGAGGGTAGGGGGATATTGGAGGAGGGGAGGGGAAGAAAGAGGGAACCTATCACAAGGTTGGACATATATAGCACCCCCCTGGGACAAATAACAGAAATGTGAGTGAAGGGAGACAACAGTGAAAGACACGAAATAATAATAATAATATATATAATTGATCGAGGATTCACAAGGGTGGGAGGGTGGAAAAGGGAGGGGAAAAAAAAGAGGAGCTGATACCAATGGCTCAAGGAGAAAGAAAATGTTTTGGAAATGTTGATGGCAACATATGTACAAGTGTGCTTAATACAATTGAATGATGGACTGTTATAAGATTTGTAAGAGCCCCCCAAATTAAATGATTAATAAAAAATAATAAAATGATCTCTCCCTCAAAGACAAAAATAAATAAATAATAAAGTATTACAGAACACACACACACAAGTTTTCTTTCTTTCTCTAACTTGGAGTGAGAATATTGGCTGTGCCACACTCCAGGCTAAAATACCTGCATTTCGTGTGATACAGTTGTGAGAATTTTTGTTTTCTTTAGATTAAGTTGTAATCCACACTTAAGTCTGTGGTCTTTGATCTTCAGCAGTGAATGGTTCATGTCAAGAAAATGATTATTCACTGAAAAAAAAAAAAACACATTTAAATGTCTATTTCTACCAATGGCAAGACACTTCACAACCAAGGCGGGATTAACCAGTACACATGGTATTCACCAGCTTGTGTTAAGCAAGGTACGCATGGGCTTAATTACTTACTGGTTTATTGACTGCTAATCTGCAGTGAGCAACTTCATTCACCTCATCTCTGATACGGTGGGAGGCACGTGAAATTGTGTGAGGTTATTCTGAATCCGTAGTAAAGTTGCATTCCGTGCTATTCCCTTTTCACAGCTCCGTCCAAGCCACAGGTACACTTACTAGAAACTCCTAAGAAATGTCAATCATGACAGCTGCCTGGATAAAATAGGAAAGGCACAGGCTTTGGTATATGTATCCAGTTTGCATCTCACTTCCACCGATGGCTACTCGTTAAACATAGTCGCGGGATCGGGCAGTGATTCTTTCTGTTGTACCCATAGCAGTGGTACCCGTTTAATACCTAATTAACCCTTTAATACAGTTCCTCATATTGTGATGACCCCCCCAGCCATAACATTATTTTCGTTGCTACTTCATAAGGCACATAACAAGCACAGTCGCTAAAGGTCTCACAGGCTCAGTCATCTCTCGGGTAAAATAACAGCAACGAAGCTTACTTTGCAAGGTTGGTCAAAGAATAAGGGAGGAAAATGTGTAAAGGGCTAGCAGTGCTTTTCGCAGTTAACCCGATTCTCTTCCCCTCCTTCACGCCAACCGAAGGCCAGGAACAAAAGCTCTCCGTCAGATGTCCTCAGGCTTATTGTGTTTGAAGGAAAAAGGAGGGAACGGCAGTTTAGTCAAATCCCAGCTCCAGGTACACAATGAAAGTCCGGAACACGCCTTTCGCAAACCTAATCCAGGTTTCTGGATTCCGCCCAAGGGGCGTGGCAGCGAGGCTAGGGGCGGAGCCAATCATCCGCGCCCTACCAGCCGCCACTCAGCACTCGCGCACGCGCAGTCGCCCGCCGGCCACGCCGGCGGCTGTTGTCGTGTCTCCGTGGGCGGGGCCGCTGACGGCGCAGAGGCGTCGCCCCGCGGAGGGCCGGCGCGCTGCCTTCCCGGTCGGCGGGTGGTGACGGCGGCCGTGCGTGCGAGGGAACCGTTGCTTCTCCGAGTCGCTCTCTCCCAGGCTCTGTCCCTGTGGTCGGCATGGCCCGTGAGTGTTGCCCCGGGGTGGGGGCAGCGGCGGGGACTTCTCCGGTCGCTCCACACCGGGAATCTAAGGCTGCCCGAGGCCGCCCGGGGGCGCGGCTGGCGGGAGGGCCGGGGCCGCGGGTGAATCCCCTTCCTGGTGGGCGGGATGGAGACCCCGCTTCGGTCCTCAGAGGGGAGGGGACGCTTTCCTTTGCTGGGTTCCGCCGTCCGTGTCCCCGGCTTTTGAGTCCGGCCCCAAAGGCCAGGCTGCCGCTTGCCCCTTGGCGCAGGTTTGCACGGTGAGACGCGTCTGAGACTCACACCTGGAGGGGTGGAGGCCAGGAGGCGTATAGGTAGAACCTCAAGTCGCAAGGCCTAGTGAGGTCTGAGCTCCGACTGCGCCTCCTCCCGATTTCTTTTGTTTGGCCCTTCTAGGTAGTGTTTTTAAAACGGCTTCAATTGCTAGCAGAAAGGTTGACTTGTGATGGGCTGAACGCGTGTGGTTTGTGATCCCGTTGTGTCTGTCTGTCTCTCTCTCCACCTACGCCCCTCAAAGCCAGAACTTATTTTGGAATACTGACTCAGAGGATTGGATTGTCGGTTTAATAGGGTCTGGTATTTATAGCCCGTGAATACGTTGATTGGTATGTTCATACTCGCGAGTATTAACCTTTAAGCTTACTCGTTATCAGACCTGGGATCCCCACCCAGTGGCTGAACTTGCCGGCTTATATATTAAAAAACAAACTTGAGATGCACTTGAGCAGGAGGAGCCCTTTAGTGGAATGATTCATGATTTTGGAAGTGGAAAAAGAACTTCACTGTTTCTCTTGGAAGGTGGAAATCAAAGAGAACTTGCCCGCCAGAAAAACATGAAGAAAACCCAGGAGATTAGCAAGGGAAAAAGAAAAGAGGATAGCTTGACTACCTCACAGAGGAAGCAGAGGTAAGTGGTACTTAAGTGGGATTCTCAGGTATTGGCATTTCGATTGAAGCTACATTTTGGAGAACAAAAAGAAAGCATCTTGTAAAACTCTTTGTAGAAGTCAATCAAACCTACAGAAAGGGACAATAGCTACTGAAAACCTGTTCTGGGCTAGCCTTGGGATAGTCATTTTCACCCGTAGTTCAAAAATGCACAGCTCTGATGCTGCCTTGCAGAGATTCTCGTGCAACTCCAACACAACTGTAGCATCTTCCACAAGGAAGACACAGTTAAGTGGGAAGGATACATTGAGAAGCAGACAACCTACCTTGCCTAAACTAGGGACTCGGCTATAGTTTGTTCTGAAGGAGATAACAGAGAAGTATGTGTAGCTGTGCTAACTTCTGAAACCCCATCACTTTGGAGAGGGTGAATGTAACACAGTATAATAGATTGTGTGTGCTAAGGGGTTACTATGAGTCAGAAAGATTTGATGGCAGTGTATTTTGTTGTTTACTGAGGTCTGGATTACATAAAATAAATGGCAACACTGGTTGCACAACATTGTAGCTTTACTAAATGACTAGAATTGTTCATTTAAACATGTTAATTTTATATCAAATTTACCTCCGTTTTTAAAAAAAATTGTGACGCACAGGTACTTTTTTTTATAATGTCAGATTGCTTCTCTTTGCAGTAGAATGCCTCCCCGTTAAGGGGGATGGCTTGACTTAAACCAAGAACCAAGCCAAATTCACTGCCACTGAGTTAAATCCAGTTCATAAAGACTGTATAGGACAGAATAGAACTGGCCCTATCATGTTCTGAGGCTATAGATCTTTACAGGGAAAAAAAGCTTCATCTTTCTCCCGAGAAGCAACTGTAGATTGGAACTGCTGACTCTGCAGTTTAGGAGCTCACCGTGTAATGAGTGCATCATGCCACCAGGATTCCTCATGGATTATGTCCCTCAAAAGTGTGTTGTAAATCCTAACTTTTATAATTTTGCCTCTCCCATTTGTTGCAGGTTATCTTTGTTATGCTAATGAGACAGGATTGACATAAGGAGTGTTATCTTTTTTGTTTTAAAAAAAAGTTTACTGAGAAAATTAGCAACCTGTTCAACAATGTATACACGCTTTGTTTTGTGACATTAGTTGAATGTAATGACTCACTTTCTTCTTGGAGTCTGAGTTTTCCTTCACCCAGTATTCCAACCCCTTCTTGCCTTGTGAACTTAGTTTTTTGTGCAAATGCTGCCCTTTTGGTGGCTCTGGGGATCATGTTTGACAAGTTTTATTACACCTAAGTTATGCCTTAGGAAGCCCTATTGGTGTAGTTGTTCTGCATTGGGCTGCAATACACATGGTCAGCAGTTCAAAACCAGCAGCAGCTCTGAGGGAGAAAGACTGGGCTTTCTACTCCCGTAAACAATTACATTTCTGGAAATCCACTGGGGGGTGTCAGTGTTGACTTGATGGCAGTGGGTTTGTTTTTTTTGGGTTGGAAATTATGCCTTAACCCTGAATTTTCGAAACATCCTCACGTGATTAAATTGGAATTGGAATTAAGAACCATTGGCTAACAAAGTCAATGCCCTTCACTGTTATTTCATACTTTCATTCAGTAAAAAATAATATTCATGCGATTAGCATTATGTTAAATTGATATTTCCTTTTCTTGGAGTAAAAGTGAACATGATGTGGATCGATGATTCTGAAATACTATTTTATTAAAGAGCTTACTCTGACATAATTCAATAGTAGCCATAATTTACTAAATCTTTACGATTTAACATCTCTGTTCATCACAGTTCTGAAAAGTGACATTAGCTTCACTGTAGAAAAGGAAGTTGAGGTTTAAACATTGGTAATATTACTAAGACCACACAGCAAGCCCAGGAGAGCAAAGTGTCAAACAGAAAAATCACTATTTCCCATTACACCTCTTTGTACCTGTCTCTTTTCTCCTTCTCTCCTTCTCTCCTGCTTGTGCTGTTGACGTTACAAAAATGTTTTACTGTCATGGACAGAGTTATTCCGTTTTGAGTTAAAATCTAATGCTAAATTTGTGAAATAACAAAGAACCTGGACTTAAATTTTTCTGTGATTTGAGGTAAATTATTTAGCTGTAAGCCTTTCATTTATTATCTGAAACATGGCAATAATAACTCAGCTGTTGTAAAACATACGCCTAAGCTGTAAAATGTGCGATAGATGGTAAGTCTTGACTACATAACCATTTAGTATATCCTAAACCTGTGAATCAAAGCCATGGTCTACCTAGTCCACGCAGTCAGATTATGGTTTACAGTTAATATAGAATATGATGTTTCAGCCAGAAACATAAAGGGTTAAAAAAGTGCCCTGAATTATCCTGCTATTCTTTAATCAATTATTAATCACTAGTGTTGAATTATCATTAATTATTTTTATTAGCCAATATTAATCAATTATTAATCACTAGTTTGGGGGCTTGTAAGAAACTGAATTGCTTCATAGCATTTCTGCCCTAAAAGTTAGGTACCTATTAGAATTCTAGGTAACTTCTTACTGCATCTTGTGTTTAGGGTAGAAAATTTAGCCCTATAACACCTGAATTTTTAATTTCAGGGGAAAAAATTATCTTGTTTTTATTTTTTACTTTCATAGTTATCTATATATATATTAATATATATATTAATTAAATGTTATGAAAACGCCACGCTCAGCATTATAGGGATAGAGTGATTTAACTTTGCTAACACCAAGTGTGGTTGCCATCGTTTTTGCAGTCACTAATGTCAGACACACAAAGGAATGTTCATAGCGGTTAGAACAACCCCGTAAGCATCGCTCCCATGTTAAAAGAGCGTTGAGGTTATTTTCCCAAAGTCATGGTAACAGTAGAGATGGTACTCAAAATAAGATCTAAATGCTTTGCTTATCCAGTCTGTTTCCATCCATGAAAAGAAAGACATGAGTGTTTATATGAGGTGGCTACAAAAAGCTCATGGGAAAATGGAGTTAAAAGATCATAGAAACTTTCCACAAACATTTTGAAGCCCATTTGTGTCAGCTTTTAACTTGGTTACTACTATGCTGAATGGATTTTGTAGAAAATAAATGAGAGCACAAAGTAAAAAGTTTCTTTGAAATTTTCTTCAAACAACTTAATAACCTTTTCTCCCATTATAGGGATTCTGAGATCATGCAACAAAAGCAGAAGGCAGCTAACGAGAAGAAGTCTATGCAGACAAGAGAAAAATGATGACTGGCTAGTTTGGAATACCTGGTGCTCCTGCCAACAAGGTGTATCATATGCTCTGAGATCAAGATTTTGTAGAGTGAACCATCATTACATATAACTTATCCTTATAAAACGGTCTATTTTAAACTTTACCTTTCAACCTGATTTAGTGTGATGTTTTAGAACCATTCTTCAAAAAATAAAACACTAACCATGCATGTAACATAATGGTGAATTTTTTTTTTCTCAAATATTTTTATTGGGGACTCTCACATCTCTCATCACGATCCATGCATTCATCCAGTGTGTCAAGCACATTTGCACATATGATTCCATCATCATTTTCAAAGCATTCTCTTCCCACATGAGGCCCTGCTCCAGAGCAGGGGGTTTCTGAACGAGGTTAACAGGTTACCACCAGTCAGGATCAGAAAACAATAAGGAAACAGTCATTGGTCCACAGCGGCACCTCCCCTTAATACAGCCAACTCGAAATGTTGGTGTCTCTGCAGTCCTCAGCCTCAGACCCACAGGTCCCTTGGCCTTGGCCTTTGTGGGCCAGGAAGCCTGCCTGTCTACCTCATGGTCCCATAGTCTTCGTGCTGGAATATTCTTTTTTTATCAGCAGTGAACATTGGTACCATTTATTAGGTAGATAGTGTGGTAGGATAAGAGGATCTCCCCAATAAATCTAGTTTATCCTTTAAAATTTGTTAAAGTAGAACTTTACAGTCACTTTTATTTATAATCCATTTATATACTTTTACTGATAATCAGCTGCTTTGCTTGAAGGATTTGCAAGAGAGACTACAAACTACCTGGAATAGTAACTAAAAAGAGCTTACTGCTTTAACAGGTTTTTGTTCTTTTTACGATGAGCTCCATTTTTAAGTCTTTTGGGACTTCTTCCAAAAATAGAAAATGTAAATAAGAAAACAAGAAAGGAAGGCTCGAGACCATGTGTTTGTTTATATAGATCTCAAAATATAAGTGCCACTGAAGTAGCAAGAAATGTAACTAAAAAAAATAAATAAAATTTAAAAAAAAAGAAATGTAACTAAGTGCTCTGCTAACTGAAAGGTTGAAAGGGTGGTGGTGTAAGCCTGCCCAGTAGCTCCTAGGAGAAAGACTAGATGGTTGGCTCCCACACAGATTAAAAAGCTACTGCCATCAAGGTGGTACCGACACACAGGGCCCTATAGGACAGAGTAGGCTATAAATCTTTACCAAAGCAAACGCTCTTCCTTGGAGCAGCTGGTGGGTTTGAATGACTTTCTAATGACCAGCCCAATGCTTAATTAATCCACTGTGACATGAGGGCTTACATAAAGATTACAGACAGCCTAGAAAATCCTATGGGATTCTGTCACCCAGGGTTGATAAAATGTAAAGTCCACAGGACTGAACCCATTAAAGTATTCAAATATTTCGTGTTTCTCATACATTTTTACTAATCACCTAATACACCAACCACTATCTGAACTGACAGTTCTTGAAGAGGCCATTTAGCTATCTTGATAGTGATGCTATCGAGTAAGTTCTGAATCAGTGACCCTGTGCATAGCAAGACACTGCCCAGTTCTGTGCCTTCCTGCAATTATTCTCATGCTTGAGCCCATTGTTGGAGCCACTGTGTCAATCCATCTCATCAAGGGCCTGCCTCTTTTTTGCTCCCCTTCCAGTTTACCAAGCATGATGTCTTTTACTCCAAGGACTAGTCTCTCCTGATGTCCAAAGTGAGACAGTCTTGCCATCCTTGCATCAAAGGAGCATTCTGGCTTCTAAGATGTTTGTTCTTTGGTAGTTCTTGGTACTTTTTAACATTCAATATTCCTTAACACCCAAGATCAAATGTACTGATGTCCTAATTCAGTGTTTTTCACAGGCATACAAGGCCATTGAAAATACTATGGCTTAAGACAGGTGCACCTTAGTCCTCAAAGTAACATTCTTGCTTTTCAACACTCAAGAGTCTTGTGCAGCAGATTTAACAAATGCAACTTGTTTTTGAATTCTCGACTGCTGCTTCCATGAGCATTGATTTTTTGATTCAAGCCAGAAAAGTCCTTGACAATTTCAATTTCTTCTCTTGTTTATTATGCTGTTGCCTAGTGGTATAGTTGCAAAGATTTTGGTCTTCTTTGTCTTGGGCTGTCACCCATAAGAAGGCTGCAGTCCTTGATCTTCATTAGCAAATGCTTCAAGTCCTCCTTACTTTCAAACAAGGAAAATTGTGTCATTTCCATATTGCAGTTTGTTAATAAGCCTTCTGATCCTGATGCCACATTTTTCTCTCATTATTTGCTCAGCATGCAGATTGAATAAGTATGGTGACAGGACACAACCCTGACACATACCTTTCCTGATTTTAAACCGTGCAGAATTGCCTTATTATGTTCACACAACTACCTCTGGATCCATCTAGGTTCTGCATCAGCACAATTAGGTCTGAAATTCCCTTCTCAAGGATATTCATAGTTATGATCCATATAGCCAAATGC